TCTTGCTGAACGGGTACCTTCACTGATATTTTCCTGTAGCAATACGTCACCAACAAGCTCCTTTGCACCGAGTTTCTTCTTGTTTTCTATGTTTTCCGGCTTACATTCTTTATTTACTCGATAATGCCGCAACAAATTATTATACGAATTATATTCTTTATTACACTCTGAATTTTCACAGCGAAAACTGCTTGAAGAGGACTTCATTTTACAAGGTTTTCGCTACTTTTCGCACACAAAAAACTCGGGGTTTGTTGAGTGAGAAAAAGCCCGCCAAAACTCAGAACCTTCGATCTCGCCACGTTATAAATATACGTGAAGTAAAACATACAAGCCCATATTTTAGATTCAAAAAACAATTTTAGACAAGGCAGACACATACAAATTAACTTCATGTAAAACTTTATTGAAATAACTTAAATTTACTGAAATCAACATCATATAAACTAAAAATTTATCGCAATTTAACTCGCCTGCATGAGCATGTTCATGTCCACTGTATTAAGTTCGAGCAAAACCATTGCCCTAAAATCATAGTTTTTTTAATCAAGTTCGTTCTGTTTTCATCCAGGCTAACCATGATCGCAGATACTCCTTGCTTTTTGTTTCTGAGGATCATTCTCCAAAAAAATCGCGCAAGATCGACCAAAATATCTCTCATTTATGTCTTCATCAGCTGCGTTTTTGTCTCGCGGAGAAAATATTTTTCTTTACAGTACGCTCGCGTGGCATGCTGGTATGGATTTCTATTTGCAGTGGAAATCATGCTTTGCGCGCTTGGGGCGAGATCACCTGGTACAAATCACGATATTATGCTCAACCTGGTTCATTTATTGACAAATGTTTGTCATTTTTAGAAGAAGAATAAAAATGCGTTCTTTGTAATAATCCATATAATTTTAAGTGCAAAAATGCGCCTTAAAGCGAGAAATCCAGCAAAGCCTATACCTCCTTAGGGTAAACCATGATTTTACCCATAGATATAGGAGATCTAGATTGCTAACGCATACCTAGCGCAGGCGGGGCCTACATGATAAATCCAAGATGGCGGTACAACAGGGCAAAAAGACTATAGATTCTATTACGAAAATCAGGATTTTTGCATTTATTGCCGTCCCATTGTTTCGAAACTTATTCGGTCAAGCTTTATGGTAAAGAGGAACTTACCGCGAAGATTTTGAGCATATATATGATTGAATTGGATGAAAAATCGCAAAATTATCCACTGATAAAAGTTCGTGTGAAATAGTCAGTTGGTCAGTTGGAGCGTTTTATTGCCAGAAATACTGTGCTATGTTAACATCTAGCCTTGTGAATGGTGTTTTATACTTGCATCTCTCATCATCATCTGCTCTGTCCTCATAATTATGAAAAATGAACTGTTATGTACCCCCCCCCCCTCCTTGCTTGTTAGAGAAGTAAACTGATGAGAGCACTGGATGAGGGTCTATCATCTATGGTCTGTTATAATTTGCTTTTTATGCAAATAGTGAGCAAAAATTAAAGCAAAACTGTACAAGTTACATATATAGTACTATATCAGTACTATACACGAACTTTTATCGATGGATAATTTTGCGAGTTTTCATCCAATTCAATCATATATATGCTCAAAATCTTCGCGGTAAGTTTCTCTTTACCATAAAATTTGACCGAATAATTTTCGAAACAATGCGACGGCAAAAAATGCAAAAATCCTGATTTTCGTAATAGAATTTATAGTCTTAATTTTTGCCCTGTTGTACCGCCATCTCGGATTTATCATGTAGGCCCCGCCTGCGCTAGGTATACGTTAGCAATTTAGATCTCCTATATCTATGATTTTACCCAGAGCAAATAAAATATGGGGGAGGTTTGTTCTATTGTTCCACTTTCCAAATGTATTTGAAAATAATTTAAAATCGCTTTTCTCAAATGAACGTTTGGCAAAATACAAAAAATGTTTCTATTGTTGATACTGAATCAATTCGTGCTGTACTTTCAGGGTTTATTTTTTAGAAACAGAGCCATGTCTTGAACCTAAACAAGTGCATATATCAATGCCATAGATTGCAAGAGAACCCTTATATTACTTACATTCCCCTTTACGTAATTGAACTCGGCTCGCATCTTTTTGGAGCAAACTACCCTATGTTTTACCCCATAAGGAGGCCTATCTTAGTAGCTGCGGCAGCGACGAGTGTAAAATGTACTGATCATGCGTCAGATAAACAAGGTCTACCCCCGCTTGACTCAAATACGACTACAAAATTAAAGCTTTAATTTGATCATAAAACTGTTTTCAGCGTGGAAGATTGCCTTTAACCTTACTATGATCACCGCATTAGGAAAGTTTCCATTTCTTAAAGGTTCTGAATTAAAAAAGAATTGCACTGCATTAGAAATGGAATTGCACTGCATTAGAAATGTGTCCGTAATAGATAGGCATCCGTAATCTTTAGATGTCTGTGATAAAGAGGATTTTATCAAACATGTTTCCGTATTAAAGAGGTGTCCATATTTAGAAGGTGCCTGCATTAGTGATTTGTTCGTGCTAGAGAGGTGTTTGTCATAGAGAGGTGTTGCATTCAAAAGAGATGCATTCAAAGAAGATTGAGAGTTGATCGTAAAAAGAGGTACCTGTATTAGAAAGGTATTCATGCATGTAAGAGAGGGTGCCGTTTTCGTGAAAATAGGTTTGACTGTGAAAATCGCATTAGAACGTTTAAGCATGATTTATTAGTAAAATAATCAAGTTAGTTCTTTAAGGGAACGACGGTTTTGTTATTTAAAGTTATATTCTCTAAATTGCAGATCAGATCTACCAGGACGAAACAAGATTCAGCCCTTGCGAGACGAATGATGTTTATCATATTAACCGACTTTTTTTGCTGGTTTCCCGTCATCATTATCAGCATTTTGGCACTAACAGGGAATCTGTATGATCCATCAAAGCAGGTTTATCCTTGGATAGCTGTGTTTGTGTTGCCTGTAAATTCGTCAATCAATCCACTACTGTATACTTTCTCAACACCATACGTTGGTAAAAAGATTACAGTTGTTGTAGAGGTTTTATCAAGAATGATTCGACAAATTAGATTTGAAGGTATTCTATATGTATAAAATTGTTTAAATTTCACATATTCTCGTCCGTTACACTAACGTGAATGTAATGGGGCATTCATTTTTTAACTGGGGGGGGGGCGGAGGAATTTGGGGGTGAGTCAGCCAATTTTGACATGTTTAAAGGGGTGAGTTTTTTTATAGTTTGATATAAATCGAGGGGGTCATAAAAATAATCAGTGAAAAAATCACCGATATGATTTTATTGAATTTGGAAATACACTGTAAATCTGGGAGTGTTGCCACAACACCAAAATCGGTGTAAATTCTTGCCTCTGTGGGGACACCGAAAAGGTGTCAGTTAACACTGATTTTAGTGTTAATTTACACCTCTTCAGTGTAAATAGTTGTGTCTGTATGAACACCCATTTGGTGTTAATTTGCACCATTCTAGGTTATTTGACCCTGCTTTGGTGTAAATCCGCTTGCCTCTGTGGGGACACCAATTTGGTGTTTATTTACGCTGAGAGGGTAAACTTACACTATCCTAGGTTATTTAACGCTGCTTTGGTGTAAATCCGCTTGCCTCTGTGGGGACACCAATTTCGTGTTTGTTTACACTGAGAGAGTAAATTTACACTATCCTAGGTTACTTAACATTCCTTTGGTGTAAATCAGTTTGCCTCTGTGGGGACACCAGTTTGGTGTTTATTTACACTGAGAGGGAAACTTACACTGTCCTAGGTTATTTAACGCTGCTTTGGTGTAAATCCGCTTGCCTCTGTGGGGGCACCAATTTGGTGTTTGTTTACACTGCGAGAGTAAACTTACACTGCCATAGGTTATCTAGCACTTCCTTGGTGTAAATCTACTTTCCTCTGTGGCGACACCAAATTGGTGTAAAGGTACACCTCGAAAGTAAACTTACAATTCCCAAGGTTTAAATATGCTTGCAGTGTAAAGCTTACTTTCTAGTGTTCAATGTAATGTAATTATATTATACCAATGTAGTAACAGTTAAAAATAAATTTATTACAAATTTAAACTATAATTATTTGTAGAGTTTAAAACTATAGTCTATATATACATATTTTGATTCAATTGAATCATTTTGACAGTTTACATCAGTCACAGACTCATGCACAATCCAAATTAAAGTTCATGTTACCAGTACAGGTGATTTCAAAACCAATAGTCTTTGCTGAATGGCACTTTGACACAGTAAAAAATGAGGACACGTCACTATATAGCAGCGCACACAATCGACAAATGTTTTGCTGTAACTGTCCTTCGTTAAACATTAATGCATGGCCAACACGTTCCCTTGAAAAAATAATTATTTTGCATTACAGAATATTATGAAGAGTGCACTGCACCTTTTATGTGTTTATCAAACAACTTATAGATAAAACAAACTCAATCTAATAGTACTTTTGTTGGTGACGTGTCAGAGTAAATATTTGAGATTTTAAAAAGGCAGAAAGTCTGGCTAAACTATCAATAGGTCACACTTTTTTAGGGGCATGCTACAATTTAACAGGGCGCATTGGCAGAGAGACTGGTTAAACAATTAACCAGAAGAGCATAAACTTTTCTGGCAGTAACATTTTCAGTCACAGTAAATAATATACATAGTATATTAGACATTTTAAGTTTAATTGATTGTGAAGTTCTTTCCTATCATTTCAAATCAATATACTGTATTTTATTATAAAAAGTATAGTGCTTTATAGAGATTTGCACTGATAAAAGTGATAATCACACATGTGAGATTATTCATGATAATCTCACATGTGAAAATTATCACTTTTCAATTATCGCTTTTCTGTAAACATTATCGCTTTTCCAAAACTGTCCTTTATATAATAAACAGAAAAATACATGGGTGCTTGGAAATACCAGATTTATTTCTTGTGTTGAACATGGTATCTCACTTGTTCGCTGCGCTCACTCGTGAGATATCATGTTCAACACTCGAAATAAATCTGGTATTTCTGGCGCACCCATGTATTATTCTCTATATAAACAACATCACTTTATAGCCAGTCTATATCGTTGTTGTTTGTAGGATGCATTTAGGAGTAGACTAATTGGGAGGGCAAGGATTACAGCATACTCTCGCAAGAGCCAATTGGGAACTTCGTCAGGGCCACCACTTTTACTGGGGTTCAGTTTTTGTAGCTGTGATAAAACCCTTTCTTCAGAAACTTCTAAGAAGTCTGGGTTTTTCTCTAAGTTAAGTCGCTCTAACGGTCAAGATAGTTGATATTCTGATAAGGGCTCATGAAAAGCTGTATTTATTCTGTTTGCTAGTTCTTGTTCCGATATATCTTCAAAACCAGCGATATTTATCAAATTTATTAGGGAGCTATTCATTGATTTCATTCCTCCTAGGCGTTTGATTTCACTCCACCAAGCTTTAGGGTTATCTTTTTCTTTACTGTGAACCTGGGTCGTATAGTATTTTGATTTACACGCTTTTCTCTCGCGATTGACAATATTTCGGTAATATTTAAAGCAGTTGGATTTTGGACCGTAACTGAAAAAGGCTTCTTGTCTTTTTTTTATAAATGTTTTTAATTTATCGGTCATCCAAGGAACATCTGCAGAGATTTTCTTAATCCGTTTAATTGGCATGAGGAGGTCATTAAGACCAATTGTGATTGAGCAAAAATTTCAGGCCAAAGGATTGATTGTAAAAATCTCCCCATGGCATCTTTCTTACTCTGACGAAGGTCTCGTTTGTATACAAATGTAGGTTTTGCTTTCTTCACAATGTGAGTGGGTGAAACTACAGCTGTGTTGTGATCAGATAATCCAATTGGAGGGAGTATTTGCGGAGACTTGTAGAACTCGTGCATATTAGTTAATATAAGATCAAGTATTGCTTCGCCTCGAGTTGGTGATTTAACAATTTGTTTCAACCGAAAATGCTTAATTATATGATTCACATTAAGACGATTGAAATCCCCAGCAATGATAATACCGCAGCTGTAAAATTTTGCTTCGACTTCGCTCAGTGTCTGAAAAAAGTGACTCTGCATGCTGAAATCGTCGGCACTGGGGGGGGGGGTGGTATAGGACGGCAACTATGATTGTGGAAAATTCACGAGGAAGTCGTCTAGGTTTTAAATGAAGCCATAAGATTTCGTGTTCGGAACAACATGAAATTTCTGAAAGGATTTCGAGTTTCGTATCACCGTCTCTGATATAAATACAGATTCCGCCATGGTTGTTTATAGATCTATCTTTGCGTATGATTGTAAACCCAGGTATGCTTACAACGCTATCTGTAATTGAGTCATTGAGCCAAGTTTCAGTTAGAAAGGATAAGTTTATCTCATTTTCCATCATGAATTCGCGGACTTCGTCTATTTTAGGGGCCAAAGATCTCACATTAGTCACCATTAATTTTGGAATAAAATTACTAATCCCCTGTTTTAATATAGTGGTATCAAGTTGATGGAGTTCTGTAGTAAGGGGCTTACATGGCAGAGTACAGTTATTTGGAAAGTCAACAGATTCGTTTAATAATGACTGGGTGGTCTTGTTGGGATGTCCATCAGGGGAGGCATATAAGGGTAGTTTACATGGGGATAAAAAAAAAGGGTGTCTCATAGTATTTAGGTGACTTTGAAAATGATATGGAGTTTGTCCGTAAAACGGGGGTGGAAAAAATTGTTGTTGGTGTGGTTGAAAGGACTGTTGTGGTTTAGCGTGGGAGAAATCACATTTCAAACCCTTCAGGCAATGACTCTTTCTGCGTAAAAAGGGACATGGAACGTGAGATTTAGGTTTTTTTGTGTGTCGGGGGAACCTATCTTGGTATGGTGCGGGTATTTCGTTCCTACCCGCAATTTCTTCTGAAACATTATCGGTTCCAGCGTTATTTAGATTTGCCGCGCCAACGTTGTTTTGATCAGATATCTCGATTATACTAATGTCGGGGGCGTTGGGATTAGTCGTTTCATTAATTTCTTTTGTTTGGGCGTGAGTTAAAATATGCATATCGGTGGCAGGTTTGCCATTTCGATTTTTAACAAACTTTCCCCCATTTTCAACTGATTTTTCACCTTTACTCTGGCCCATAAACTCAACTAATTGTTCAACAGTTTGAGACAAAGTTTGTATAATTTCTCTGTTGATTTCTTGACCCGATTTTAGTTCCTCAAAGTCGAAAACAACATCAGCACATGGACAAGACGACTGTCGCGGGGTATCTACATTCGTCTGGCATGACATGCCCACGCCTACAGGGGTTCCTTTTCTGCTGAAGCATTTTGTCTGCTCGCTCACAAAAATAATTCTATCGGCAGGTTGCAATGGAAAACAAGCCTTAGAAAGTTACCGCAATAAACCGGTTCAATGCATTGTATTTAAGACAAGCGCATTTTTCATACAGGAATCATTTTGATTTTTGATCATCGTTTCGACTTGTTTGTAATCATCCTCAGGATTAATAAATCCTGAGGATGACTATAAACTAGTCAAAAACGTCGATTGAAAATCAAAATGTTATTCGGAGTTTATTCGGAGGTATTTTCTTAAAATACTGTGAGGGTCCCGTAATTAAATAAACGGATTCGTTCAGTGATCTTTTGCAGTATTAACACAGCTTGATCAGTAAGTTACCATAGCTAGCTGTGACACTGAACAATAGAACCAATTAATTTTCAGATGTCATTACTCTCGTTAAAGCAATATCTCTCATTTAATATACCTGTCTGCATGCAAGACACTGTAGACCTTTGCCTTGATCATGAGTGAACTAAGAACTAATGCGTTTTACCTGAAGAAACTGTATCGCGCAGCTCAAGTTACTGACGCTGACAAGGTAAGAAACTGCACTATAGTATCGCACCAAGCCTGTCGATCACGAGGACAACAAATAATGTCAGACTGATTTAGAAGCAATAATTTATTTAGATGCCAATAACGAACCAGCTGGAAATGTGAAACTTTAATGCCTACCATATAATGCATGTTTAAAAACCTAGAGTCTCATTAGAATGCTCACGTTTCAGTCCTCGAACATGAGATCATGTAGCCACTAGACCATTTCCCAGTAACTTTTAATGACTGATTAAACGCGAGACTTTTGAGAGTGAGTTTGATTCAATTTTATGTTCTAATAACTTTGGATCTGAAAATGCAATAAACTCTTTAATTTTGAAGGATGGTGTGGTAACTCGTGCTGATTATGACCTCATGATCAAGAGATACAACGAGCTTGGTATGCCAGAAGAAAACAAACAAGAATTATCTGACGCCATGTACGGGATGTGTGGTTCCTTGGGTCTTACAGATCACACGAAGTCCTTGACTTACGACGAGATAGTGCAGTCTTGGATTGATAACGTGGAGAAGGGAGTTGGCTTTGCGACCATTGTTTACGATAAGATATTTCGAATTGTTGACACAGACAGAAATGGAAGTATATCTTTGAAAGAGTGGGAAATTCATTGCATGGCTATTAACATCCCTGTGGAGCATGCTGAACCATCGTTTAAAGCGATGGACACTGATGGAGATGGAGTGATCTCTCATGATGAATTTGTAGCTTATCACTATGAATATTTTCATACAAGTGAAGATAAACTACATAGTTCTCTTTTGTATGGGCCATTACAGTAAAATAAGGCACTGGAACGCCAAGAATTTTGACAATGCTAATGTTAATTAATAATGCTAATAGTTAAACTGCACAGTAGCATGAGAACAAACTAATATGCAGGTATATGTGCATGCAAATATGTTTGGGGAAAAATTTGAAATCTGATGGGATTAGCAATTATTAAAAAGGACATTTCGGAGTTTACTCCATCATCAAGTTGAAAGTTGACGTTTGATTCACGTTTGACAATAATTATAATATTGCAGTCTTTAAACGTAAGCTATTTAGACAATATACTCGAGCAACGAAATACATCCTGTTTGAAATCTACGAATCTTTCTGAATGTGAACGAATTTTGAGAATAGCTTTTAAATTAATCCGTTCGAAAAGGTATGGTGAATTTACTTTGGCACACTATAGATTTGAAGTTAAGGTTTGTTTTGAAAAAGTAATAAATGTTTGACCTCTAGTTTAGCGCGAAAGAAATAAAAATATGCAACGAAATATAGTAACGAAATAGTCTTTAACCTGATGACGAAGTCAACTTCGAAACATCGTTCTTATAACAGTAAAAGTGTTAAGCCTTGTTCTTAGTCAATAGTAATACACAAAAATCTATTAATCAAACGAGGCTAAGGGAAATTTGTTATTAAGTATTTCGACTGAAAGCTTTTGCGTTATTACGCATGTAGATTAAAGCACTATCGCACATTTAATAAACAACTTAGTATTGTCCACAATGTGGTTGTCTTTTTGTAATTTAGGCCCCGTTTACACTATACCGAATTACTTTTCATACCGGATTAATTTTCACTGCGAAGTAAAAAACTAGGGTGTTTACACTATGCCGCTTTGCTCTGTTGCCAGCTCATGTCTTTCAGTGTCGCCATTGAAACAAGTAACATTTTTTTCCAATATACTTAAATTTATTAAAAACCAGAAGTAAAACTGTTACACGTTTTCTTTGTAAAGTACTGTATAACTTAAGTTCGTTTAATTAAAAAGCTTGACCATCAGACGTTGCTTCCTTTCGCTCTAATCTAAAATTGACTAGTATTTCTTTAAATCTTGCTCTTTCGAAAACGAAAAATCAGTGTTATTATCGTTTTCTTTATTTATCTTCTAAATGCATGGTTGTAAGACGAAACAAACAACAGCTATGAAGTATTGTAAAAGCGAGCAAATAAAGGCGACAATGTTAAAACATACCCGCC